GCTGAATACATGATGCTTGCACGGGGAGATGAAGGAAGGGGCAAACAGCAATTATTTTTTTACTGTGTATTTAGAAAAGACCACTTGGATCAACAATAATTAGCAGAGAAGACTCTTGGTATCCCAACGTGCTTCTGCTGATATCGCACAGCACTGGCATTGTCTCCACCAAGAATGCAATTCTAGCCCACTGAAGCCCCTAAAACAGACCATTAATTCACAGCCAGACCTGAGGAGAAACAAAACCTCGCTCAACACAGTATTTCAGTATGGCCTACAGCTAGAAAGCTGCTGCTCTGAGTATAACTGCACACACTGCAATTCTGAAGGTAGCTGCAGGTTTTTAAAAAAGTCCTCCAGCTGCCAGTGGTGATCCTCTCCTCTCTCCCAGGACCTCCTGAAGCTTTCTCTCATCACTAAGCTCCTGCTGTCAGAAGGACAGCAGTCTCAGCATACCTTTCCCGCACTGAGGTCCAGGACAAACCTAATTAAATGGTTGAGGATACTCAACTCAGTACTGCTTTACACCAGAATGAAACAACACCATACAATCCACAAAGTGCAAATGAACACCCAGTGGTACATTGAACATGCCCCCTCTCCTCCTGCCAAGGTAAGCTGCTTTAGTAGGATCTTACTGATTTGTGGTCAGGCACTGGACTCTTGGTCACCATCACTGATTCTTTGCAAACCAATAGTGACTGGTCACCATGGGAAGCCATTGCCAAAAGAACAACAATAAATATCCAAACAAATATACATAACAGTCTAGAGGTGAGAATGGACTACATGAGTCTGGCCTACCTGCTGACCCTTCCTATTGACACTACAGCCTAATCATCCAAGGAATATTATTCACATCAGAGCACCCTAGTGAAGATGAAGCACTTCTGTAAAAGCAGTCTGAGCTCTATCAACATATGAGGTCACACCTATGGCATGCCAGAGCTCCTATGGAGCCGCATTAGCTGTCCACCCATAGCAGAAGTGACTCTCTATGTGTGTCATGACACAGATCTGATACAACCCAGAAACTATGGAAGGAGACGACCCTGTTGGTCTTCTGCCATCAGTACTCAGCTCTGAGCTGGGTGTTGGGATGGTGCTGACTAGAAGATACTTCTTCTAAAATAGAAAGTTTGCAAAATTCTCTGCCTCACCTTCTATCCTTTGGTACATACAAGTGCCCTTAGCTTCCAAGAGATTATTACAAATGTAATTTCTATGCTTTCCACTTTTGATCTGAAACTAAAACGCAGGCACTTCCTCCCTCCCTGTGGTGCGTGCATTGAATCACACCATGAACAGTTAACTGCAACTATTAACCCTGTCTTCCTGCAGCCTTTACTGAACCGAAGATACCAACAGGAAAAATCTCTCCAGAAGTCAAAAGACTGCTGTGATATAAGAGGCTGTACATTTCTGTAGGGCACACTTAGAGAGTGCTATTTCTTTCTTTTTCGAAGTACCTGGTAGTCTCTCAGAGACCTGCCTTTGAAACACAGCCAGGACTTCAGGTGGACCATGTAAAGTCGAGCTGTCAACTTAAAAGCAGCGAGGAAAGACTCTTCAGATCAGGATGGGTTCATCTCTCACTTCAGACAAGTATCAAAAGTATCTGTAGCATTTCTGTTGTTAGAAACAACATATCATAATTAAATTTAAAAGTCAAGATGCTGTCACTGTGTTCCACCCACGTCTTTGTCCTAATTTTTATTGTATGCTTTGGCACAAACTTTGTGGTGTCTCCTTTCTTTATTTTCCTTATACTACTCCCCCTTTTCTTCAAGATACCTGATCTCAAGGAGCTCTCTCTCTCCTCTTTCATACTTTCTGTGTTTTTTCTCACCCCCATCCCCATTTCTTCTCTACACTGGTGTTTTTTTCAACTGTTACTTCAGTTCTTTCACTGCTACTGACACTCTATTATCCATCCATCACCTCTGAACAGAGATCACGACTGGGCTCTTGCTCACTGCAAGCACAGGGGAAGCAGGGAGCCTCTGAAGACAGCAGAGAAGCTGGCACTAACAGCTTGCAAGGCAGCCATCAGCTTCCTCTGTACAGCATTAGGGTAGTCAACTCTGGCATGCCTGGGGTGAGATTTTTCCCATTCCTTCCCAAGGGACAACAGTGTTATTATGAAGGTGGAAAACACGACTGATAAAGGACAGATTAGAGGATGAGTAATGTGACTAACCAACAAGAGACAGGAGAAGGAGTGTTGGTGCCACAGTGGGAATTATTCCCCATGAAGTTAAACAGTAGTCAGAAAAAGATGGAGAAGATGCAGACAAAAATACTGCTGGGGAAAAAAAGTTTTCTGGCACTGAGAATCACAGAAATTTTTATGCTTGGGACTTGCTTTAGTGAGACATGTTGAGCAGTGGTCCTCTACCCAGGGTCCATGTACCACTGGAGACCTGCAGACAGACTGCCAAACAGATGCAGGATATCCAAACCCCCAAAAGGAAGAAGGCACAAGAAATCCAACACCACTGAACACACACTCCCATACAGCAGGTAGCCAAAACAGAGGAAAAATAAATATATGGCTGTCCCCAGGTGGAAATCCCTGTGACAGGGCTGTACAGGACAGGTCTTGGATGGTTTTCAGTGGAGGCAGGTGGTCCTTGCATTGTACTGACACAGAGGGCAGCTCTGGGTCACTGTGGGGAAAAATAAACCATACAGACAGATGAATGATAAAATAGTTTCCTATTCAGATTTCTTCGGTCCTTAATATTTTGGAGAGGTAAGACAACAAATAATAAATCACAGGCCAAATGCTCTGCATTCATAGACCAACAAACTGCATTTCTTTGTCTTCAGAAAAGGAGTTTAAAAACAGAGTTCATGGTCAGAGATCTTCTGTGAGGACAGCTCAAAATCTGTGGCTAGGAAAAACAACTCTGGGGAGCCCAATGCCTATTACACTTCAGATTTACAGTCTCAAC